AAAAAAAAAAAAAAAAAAAGGAGAAAGACTTGGGTAATGCAAAAATGACTTAGGTAATGCAAAAACCTGCAAGTCCAGGGAGCTGCACCTAGAGAAGGGATGCGAGGCCAGTGTCCAGAGCAGCTATCCGAGCAGTTCACAGCCCCTGCAGCGCAGCCCAGATCCAAACAGGAATGATGCCTGGGACAAAAGTCAAGACCAGCTTCTTGAGCTGGTTGCCTGGAAGGGAGACAGAAGGCTGCTCTGCTTAGCTGGGGGGGCTGAAAATGAAAAATAAAAACAAACACAAATTGCCCTTCTTTCTCTATTTTCTATCTCCTCTATGCCTCTATTTTCTCCTCTACCTCCTAATCTGTTTTCGTTCCTCCAAACCCAATCTACGCAAGCGGGGAGGGGAAGAGGAGAGCTCGGCTCCTACATCACAGGCTGTGAAAGGAAAATCTCTAATCACGCCGCAGCCCTTTGAACGTTCACATTTTCTAGCCAAAGGCACTGTGAAATTGGGAGCTTTCAGTTCAAACCAGTTCAAGGATCTTTTCCCCAGGGGAGGTTTTGTTACCCTATGGGGATCTGTGCACAGAGCCCTATTTCTTCTAGTGACTACGTGGTGCTCTTAGGGTAAGCTACCAAAAGCGACTCTTTTCTTAAGAGAGAAGCTACATCTTATGCTCCTTGAAAAAAAGAAAAAAAAAAAAGGTGACAAGCAAAAGCCTGGAAGAACTAGAGCACAAAATTGTTGCCCTAGAGAGTAGGGTTAAAAGGCTGTAGAACTGCACTCAGTGATGCTTGCAGCAAAGCAGATGTCACCAAACACAACTGTATGAATGTCCTTGAGTTTGGAGACTTTTTTTTTTCCCCCTCAGAAAAAAAAAGAACCCAGAGCTGCTGCCTTTCAGGAGGCAGCAGCAGAACAGCAGGATGTTTGTCAAGGAAGTGCTAAAATGCTAAAAGGATTCTAGCCCTTTGCAGCACACAGTGAGAGGCAGAGCTAGGAGGAGGCTGAGTGCTAATAAAAACAACGGGGTAGCTTTAAAAGACTCTAACAATATTTACCAGTCAGGCCCRTATGGTCTCCAAAACAAAAGCCCTAGATGAGCATAAACACCTCTCTTGTGTTTCTGGTAACAAAGACATGTCCACAGAAGTTACTCACCTAACTGCCTTCAGCGATCTAGGCCATTCGTGGGTCTGGCCCACAAACCAGCAGATCCAAATTACAGGTGAATTTGCTGCCAATTAAACTAACTTAATTTAAGAAAATAGAAATCCCAAGAGAAAACAGAAATTGCAACCAAAGCAATGAAATGGAGCCTTAGTTCACTGATTTTCTGTCTCTGTGACTGCAGCTTAACCCTTTGCTGTTTGGGTCGCTGCTCCTACAGCCGCGGAGGGGCCCTCGGTTTCGGTCAACTTTGCCACCAGCTGCAGGACACTCTGGTGACAGGGACCCCTGGAAGCCAAGTGACAGGATAACAGGAGCTGGGAGGATTCCCAGCGGGTTCGGCTGCAGCAGCTGCTCAGTGAGAGCCCTGCAAGAAAGGGAATGAGTTAGAGCGGCCACAGCCCACCCTGCCTTGCTTTGGTAGCAAACACTATCTTAAACGTTTCTCCAGGGCTGAATTTTATGGGTCGATAYTGACACAACTCACCGTGGTAACACTGCCATGGCAAAAATGGTATTTTTCTCCTTTTTGATATAAATTTTGCTTGTGTAAATAACATTCTTGATTCTTGCCTTTCATTTCAATTTGGTGCTGAACCCTGCAAACTGCATGACCAACAGACCTGCCACGGTGTGATTTTTAGCTATTTTTTCATCTTTTTTTTTCCCCTTTCCCTGAAATACTGCTACTTCAGGACAGCTGCAATCTAATTACRATTAATTCACGTCTCCAGTGCATTTTCCTTACCAGAAGCGGGGAGGACCAGGATGCTGTTACCACATGCAGAGAGTCCTGCAAAGCGCTGTCCTAAAAAGCCATCCTTTTCCTTGCTGYGCCCTGTGGATAAACACAGCCGGGATCGGCTGCAGCATCCCACAGTGCTCCTGCAAACCTGCTCACGCACAGGATGGCAGGAATGGCAGGAAAAGCTCCCAGGACAGCGGTGAAACACGGAGCCCTTCCAGGGAAAACTCCAGGAGCTCATCCAGGCCTCGGGATGGCAGGTCGGAGTTAAAAGAAAACAGTTAGAAATTAGTCCTAGCTAAAGAAATACGTAAGTTAATAGTTAGAACATAGTTTTAGTYAAAGGAAATAACGAAAATTTAGGGGTTTAGTTTCTCACAGTTGTGGCYTTGCCCTCGAGCTCACACGTGGCCGCGGCCGCCCTCCATCTCCGGCCATGGACGAGGCACTCCCACCTGCGAGGGGGTTCCCGGCTCCCCGCTCCGTCCCTTTCCCTCCTCCCAACGGGAGCCCCGCCCGGGATCGACCCCCCCGGGGCAGCGACACGGCCCGGGGAAACGGCGACGGCGTCGCTAGGGGGAACCCCCGGCCGCGAGCACCGCTACCCACCCGGGCCGCGCCCGCGCAACGGACCGGCGAACTGCCACATCCGGCCGGCGCGGCGCAGGGGCGCGCCGTTATTGGTGGCGCGGGCGCCGTGACGCACTTCCGGCGGTGGCCATGGTGACGGCGGCGGGCAGGTAGGGCCTAGCGGCGGCCCCGGGCGGGGGGCGGCCCGGAGGGGAGGGCCGGGCCGGGCCGGGCCGGGCCGGGCCGGGCCGGGCCCCAGGGCGGTTTTGGGGGAGCGCTGGGCACGTCCCGGCCCAGAGCAGCCGCTCGGCGCTCGGCTCGTGCGCGGGGACGTCCCCTCTCCCCGCAGCGCGGAGCGGGCCTGGCGTTTGCYGTTATTATTGTGTAAAGTCTTAAGCGCAGTGCCCTTAAGCGGCGCTTTAAAGGCGGGGGGGTGTTTTCTAGGGCAGCGTTTGGTGAAACGCCGGCGAGGTGAGCGGCTTGTTCAGATGCTCCCGGAAAAAGTTAACTGCATAATCCCTATGCCCGAATAATAGTAATATAAACGCATAATAAATAATAATGATAAGTACGAACACCACCAGGGAGTCTCAGTGCTCTGGTCGTTGTTGCCAGCCACACGCAGTGACAGCTCGCCGGCCTCGGGTCCCGGCTGCTGCCAGTCCCAGTGCTGCCCCACTGGGAGGGTCTTCCTCCTCAGCCCCTTCCTCGCTTTCCCTTTGAAATGGTTGTATTGTAACAGGGAGCTTTTCTGTTTTGATTTTTATTTTTCCGTAGCAATTTTAGTGTTTTTTTCTTTATGACTTCAGCCTATATTTGACATAACTTTTTATTGTTGGGAACAAACGCAGGTTACACAAGTGCAAACATTGCATTTTAGTCATTTAATTAAACAAGTAATTGCTACAGAGGCGGTATTCTTTTCACTTCAAATTTTGAACGTGTGGTTGAAATACTGGCTTCAGTAGCAGAAATTTAGGACTATTTCTATAGTAGTCTATTTAGGACTAGAATAATCAGATAATCATCAAGCACGCCGTATCATTTTGTATTCTTTTTAATCTGGAGGGCTTAAGTTACCCCCGCGTTTCAAAGGTCATGGTCTCTATTCCCGAGGTTTGTTTTTAGAGGCAGTTCTTGGCACTCTGTGCCAGCGCTGGACTGAGTGGATTTGCTTGGGCTGCTGCCAGTTCCTAATTTAAGAGAGGTCTGTCCTGCACTAAAAGACCGGAGGGAGACACCATCTCAGAGCCACTGGCAAGTGAGTTCTTTTCAAAGGTAGGATCTTGTGCTTTCTTCAGAATAAAGTTGGTAGCTGCTAAAGCTTAGAGCTGCTGTGCTTCTGGACAAACGCTGCCTTAGGAAAAATGTCTTTTTCCTTCTTTTTCTCTCATCTGAATGACGCTTTTTGCTGTCTGAAAATAGCCTCCCAGTTGCTGCCATTTGTCATTTAAAGAATAATGTTTTTCTAGGTGGCTGAAGCTACAGAATAGGTGTTTAGGGAAACCATCGTGTTTGTAATGTCTTTTTAGGACTTGAGATCATCTTTACTACCATTAGCTCTTGAGATTTTTAACTAAACTCCTCCTGAAATACCCTGTCCTGGATGTTCGAGGAGAACATCCAGTTTATGTTTTAAGGGTTTTTAATGAGCATGTGTATAGGTATGATTTATTTTACATTAACYATTTTTAAAAAGATACTAATCACCTCAATTCAGTATTTTCATTTCTGTTCTCTAACACCCTAATCCTGCCTTTTGGGATGGGGAACTGAAAATTACAGGTGTTTGTCTGAGAGTGTAATGAGCAATGGCTTCCCTCCCGCAGGTGACTTGTCATCAAAACATCGTCAAGAACAAATAGAATTGTCAGGAGCAAATAGCAGGTCTTTGCCTTTTTTTTTTCCCTTTTTCTTAATACATGTAGCCAGATCTCAGGACAAAATTGGTAGTGGGGTCTTAGGGCAGGATGTCTGAGGATATCCAGTTCTCCCTTGAACGAGCTCTGAGGTTTTTTATTTTGCCCCCCTCTTGTTTCTAGTGGCCCTATCCATCCTGAGATGCCTTTTGCTAATTTAAAAACGTTATCAGTCTTAGGCTGAGTTCTTTGCTTCTTCTGCCAGCTTTTGTTTTGTGACTTAGCATTTTTTTTTAGTGTGAGTCAAGTCCTTTTTATCTGTGGTCTATTTCATTCTCCTTCAGGTTGCTGCAGATTCTTTTGTTTGGCTTTTTCACCAATAAATAATCCTAAAGATGGAATTTAGCATAATTGTCACCCTGTTGTTTCAGTAGCCCAGCATGGGGCTCCATGAAACGGATGGCTATTGTTGAATGTATTGCAGAATGCCTTGAGTTGATTCCTGTGTTCTGCTGGCGTTCCCTTGCATATTTATTTTATCAATGGCTTGTTCAATTTTACAAACTAAAAATAAGGACTCATGGGTTTGTGATACAAGCAGGTCCGTGAATCAAAAACTCTCTGCGTTAGCTGTGAGGTGCTGCAGCAATTCTTTCATTTTTCCCAAGCAGTTCAGTTCAGRCAGTTCATCTTTGCTGTTTGTCCTCCCATTTTAAGTGTGAGCGAACTGGGATATTGTTTGTTCTGGGGCTCTTTTTAATTTCTGTACTTGCCTTGGAAGGTACATACATTAACTGTATGACCTAAATAAGAGACCTATATCTCTCTCACTTGCTCCCCTTCTTCATCCAGTCTTTCTGTTTCCCCTGCTCTTATATCACAGGGTGATACCTGTTGATTGAGACTCTAGTCTGGAAGCTGCTAAAGCAGGTTTCTGTTGCTGGCTCTGCTTATGGCTGGCAACAAACTTCAGGCAGAGATTGAGTAGTGTCCGCTGGTTTTGTATGTCCTATAGAAGAACAAACAGAGCAAGGAAACAAACAAACATTAAAAGGGTTAGAAAGATTGCCAAATGGAAAAAAGGATTAAGGGCAGAGCTGCTTTGTTTAGAAAGCAGATGAATAATAAGTAACATGATTAAGGATTTGCATGTTGAATAAGTTAAACTAGCGTAACTGGTTCGTAGTGATGATCAAGGGATGCTACATGACAAAAGCCACATTTAACTTTTAGTCGGTAGGTTTAGGGGCTCTTTTTCCACCAGCTAGTGTGGTGGAGAGTTCAGTGCTTGCAAACTCAAATTTAATTCTGCCAAGGACCTTGAAAGAACCAACCAACTGTGACACCAGAAAAAATGCATCTTCACAGAAACTACTTCATCTCCTTTACAGCATCCTCTCCACTTTACAGGAATTGGAGGGAAAGATATTCAGGGCCAGATTTTTAAAATGGCTCAGCTTCATCATGGGCTTATAAATTAGTGACACTCCAACCATCAGCTCTCACTTTGGAAATGATGAAAGGTCGTAAATGGAAGCTGAAGAAAAACGTTCTCTAAGACACAGTGGTCAGTGTGGTGTCTGCCACCCACCTCTTGTCCTTGAATCCCAAGAGCCCCTTGAATGCAAAGGACAACATAAGGAAGACAGCTGCTGTGTATGACTGGCTGAGCATGAGCATCTCCTGCTTATCCAACCTGAAGGTGGCCAGGAATTATTAGAGGAATGTTATGCAYTCTTCTTATATGTTAAATCAACTATGCCAGTCCTCTGCTATCAATCTGCTCTCCCACTTCAACTGTGCTCCCCATACACGGGGGAACTTTAGGCCTGCATGTCTGTGCATCGTGCAGTTATTGCACAGCAGGATATTTCTGTAGAGATACTTGAGCAGGCTCAGGAAGAGCAAGCGCCACAGCAGCTTGGGCAGAGCTCACCCGCTCACCAGCTTTGGTTTTAAACCTAGTCAAGCTCTATTTAGAGCTAGCTCAGCTCTCTTCCCATGCTGTTTTATTGTGTTCTAGCTACGCCGTCAGAAATGCTTTCTTTATATCACACTAGTGGTTCGGCTCTCTTGTTCCTCAACCAGCTGCTTGAGGTCTCTATTCAAACGCTTGATGGAAATCTGGGAGAGCCTGGCAATTTTCCAGCTCTGTCCTGGGACACGTAGTGCCCCTATCATCCCTTCTGCTCTATATAAGCTGAGTACTGCTTAGTAATGTTGAGCTATGACCCAGCATTGTCAGTTACCTCCTTATTTTGGTCTTTTCATGCTCTCCTTTCTRTAAAGTATTACATGAGTTGTACGCTCAGACCCTGCCAGTATCTTCCTGGTAAAGACTCAGTGTTCAAACTCTTGTCTGTAAACCAGAGAAAAGATGCTAATACTTGGCTTTGGCTTTATATGGGACTCAAAAGATGTAAAGATTCCTGGGAGAGATTACAAAGTTTACTGCCCTGTGACATAAAAGCCTGTGGGGGTAGAGTGGGCAACTCRGTGACCCCGTCTACAGCAGAGGTATCACTTACTCTTTGGCGATGTAATCAGTTGTAACATAAACTTCTCCCTTGAAGGCCAGGCTTAGCTAGGAGATTAGGGCTCTACATGGGAATCAGAATCCAATTCCAGGGTGAGTTAGGTCTTGTAGATACCTATGGCTTCGGTTTCATTCACAGATTTAATTTCAGTATATTTCAGAAAACGGGTTCTCATGCTGTTAAACTGTACAATTGGTATCAGCATAAAAGTAAAGATCATGAATGTGGCTCTAACCTATTAGATGGCACATGTAGTTAATTTAAATCAGATGACTTATCTCTGCTGACAAGTGTTGAAAGACAGTGGAGTAGGAAGCCCAGCTTTCACCACGTTAAGCAAATAATAGCTCAGAAGAAAAGCTTATTCTGAGCCCCCGAAAGCTGGAGTGGGTTATATCCATCTAGGATAATATACAGTAACTGCTCTCTGCCATTTACATACTGCAGCAAGTGCAGTTTAAGAGAAATCTAAGAAGTTTTAATAGGATCATAGACACGTATAGACATTTGCTATCTCTGAAGCGCTTTCATTCTAAATAAATCCCATGCAAGAGAGCAAGTTAAAGCAAAATGGAAGAATACCTGGGAGCAGCTTCCCTGAAGCTACTTCTTTCACACTGCACCCAGGAAGACCCAATGCCAAACGTCCTGCTGGGATGTTCAGAAGAGTGTTTAAATGCTTAAAATTGGATATTGATGCAAATTTTTGTAAGTCTAAATGAGGCCTTGAGGAAATCTGCTGAAGCTGTCTGTATGGAATTTGGYTATTGGTGGTCTGGGAGTCTAAGGCAGTGGGTGGAAAAGAGGATTGTGCTAATTTTAAATCTGGTGAGACTTCTTTTAATGAAAAATTACCCTCGTGGCAAATTCTGTGCTAAGTTTCGCAGTGGTAAAATGCTCTGTTTGCTCTAATCTTGTGGTTCTAGGAAGCCTGTTCAGAGAGGGAAGCTCATGGATCTCACAACCACAGTCATCATCCCACTGCTTTTTGGCAGTCTGGGCATCTTCACCCTCTTCCGGCTCCTGCAGTGGATGCGGATGCGAGCTTACCTCCGGGAAGCGGTGGTGGTGATCACCGGGGCCACCTCTGGCCTGGGCAAAGGTGGGTGTGGAAGGTGCCAGAGAGGTGCTGTAGGCAGGAGGAACAAAGGGGTGCACAAGACAGACCTGCTGGAATAAAGCAATAATGATCAGAAAGTGCCCAGTCTTTTGAATTTTGAAGAGAGGTACCTTGCACAGCCAACCCCAGGGCAAACCGTGAGGTAAAAATAAAACTCTCCAACAAATATTGAAACTAATTTTAAGCCTTCTATATAAACTAGAGCTCATCAAAGCAAGTGAAAGTCCTGTGATGTCAGACACCCTTTTTCTAGGTCCTGGAAAAGTCAGATTGTTTCTAAGACTTACCAGACAGAACTGCTGTTCTGAAATCATGTTTACTGTTATGTTTCCAGATACCTTGTGTCCTTTTTTTTTCCCTACTTATTCTCACCTCTCAGCCCCAAGTTAAGCACCTTTCCACTTCTACAAATCCCTCAATTTTAAATTCAGAATCTTGGTAATGTTAATAGCAAGAGCCAGTCAGTAATCCAATAGCTTTTTTCCAGATAAATGTTTATTCTTTGCATGGGTGGATATGTTTTCTAATTCTGCTTTCTATAATTGCTTTTAAAAGCTTCTTGAAGAAAAGACAAGGAGCTCTCTGCTATTAAGGACTTTCATTAGGATGAGTGCATTTATAGAACAAATAAAGTTTAAACTGATCTTGTCCTTGCATGTGGGTTTGTCCTTGAAGACAGGGATGTTCGGTAGCTGAATGGCCAGGGGAGATGAAATGGACCTTTCTGCCTGTCAGAACCAAAGACTGGTAAAAGAATTAGCATTTTTAATCCAGAAAAGGTGGAACTAGTATCTCAGGAGAGACCATCCTGCTGTGACACACTAGGCAGATGCAGCACTGTGTGTTGTTGGGTGGTCCTTCCCAATGTTTTCTTCTAACAAAAAGCTAACCCAGGATGGAAACCCATGCTGCAAATGCCTCAGGTTAGGTGTCCATCACTGTGCACTGAAGTTTGCTCCCTTACTGACTCATTAGCAAGATCTGTGCTGTTCCTCCTCTTCCCAGTCCTTAATACTCTAGAGGACCTCTGTTTGCTGTGTGTACCCTTCATTACCCTCACGCTATCGTCTCTTGTGCAAATAAGGAGGATTTGTTTCACTAGATCACTAGATTCACTAGATCTTCATAGAGAAGTGGTTTAGAATAATATGGGATGCTTCAACAGCTGGCAACACTAGCAGGAGGACAATATCATAGCATCCATTTKGACTTCTCTTGATTCAGATGGGCTTGATAAAACACCTGTGCACTGAAAGTCCAGGTCCCACTATCATAAATGATACACGCTTACCTAGGCAAGGTACCAGTGATTCCACTTAAAAGCACGTGGTTAAAGATTAAGAGGCACAGGCAGAGTTAACTGGCTGATGAGGGAGTGTGTGTGAGCAACACAGGAACTGCATGATCAGCACAGTAGTGTGAACACAGCAGCTGCCTCATCATTGCCATGTGTCTGTCAAAGTCACTGGGAAATTGCATCTTGCTGTGACTTCACTGCAGCTCAGCCTACTGCTCAGGGATAATGAGGCTGCCCTGGACCCTTGCCAGACAAAAAAACGAACAAAACTGTTCTCAGAAACCGCCCTTAACAGCTTCAAAAACAAAACTGTTTTTCGAAACCACCAGATATGACATGGATGTGCTGTTTGTGCCTGGCATTCAAATATCTGCTTTTCTCTCTCCCTTGCTCCCTGCAAAGAATGTGCAAAAGCTTTTCATGCGGCTGGCTCCAAGGTGGTGCTTTGTGGCAGAAACAGCGAGAAGCTCCGAGAGCTGGTGCAGGAACTTTCTGCCATGACCAACCACCGAAAGAACGTGAGTGTGGGAGAGGGAGGGCTTGTTGGCTCATGCGCCTGGGCTTTCTGTTCATGTTATAGAAGATACAGAATTGCCTKTGGCTTGTTCTGGCTGCATTGAGCAATAGGAAAGATGCAGCTCTGTGGTTAGGAATAGATATTAGTGTCAGAGTTCACTGAGCTAACAGGTCATGTCTTGCAGAAACCATATGAAAACCAACTGGCTGAAAAACTACCCTTGTCTTCTAACGGAAATAGGTGCATGTGAGAGTGCAGCGTCCTCAGCCATCCTTTGCATCTGTTCTTATACAGTGTCTGAAAGAAACCTTGCTTGTCTTAGCGTTTACTTTTGATGTCTGATTTTGGTGACAATGTTTAAAAAAGCAGTGTTGGCTTCTGACACACAAGTTTTTGGCTGTGTCAGATGCGTTGTCTATAATGAAGCAATAGCAAACTTTAGTGGCCAAGGTGAATCCGACTTGCCACTTTCCTGGCCTCTGGTTCAAGGAACAGGCTACAGGAAGAAGGACCAGAGCACAGTCTGCTCCTATCACATCACAATTATATTTTTATCAACTAACTGCTACTCTGTAATCAAACAAGGTCGGGATGGCTCTGCCTGTGCTCCTAAAGCTAAGAAATCCCATCCTTCCCCTAGGTCACACTTACGACTACAGTGCACATCCAGACCTGGCCTTTTGCTAACTTTTGTTTATCAACAGATGCACAAACCTCACACTGTGGTCTTCGACCTCTCGGACACTAGAATGGTCATAAACGCTGCTGAAGAGATCCTGAAGAACATGGGTCATGTGGACATCCTGATCAACAACGCAGGCATCAGTTACCGGGGCACGGTGGTGGACACAGGCCTGGATGTGGACAAGAAATTGATGGAAACAAATTACTTTGGTCCTGTAGCCCTCACGAAAGGTATCTGTGGTCAGGATTACTGGGGGCAGGTGGATTGGACTGTTATCTTCTTCAGGCAAACACAACCAAGCACAGCTTAACTCTGTGTTTGATATAACACAGTGCAAGAGGGAGGAGCAGTTTGTTTTATGGGCAGGCCTTGAGGATGCTGGGGCATGACTGCACTGGGAACACCTGATAAGAGATGGTATCTTGTTTGTAACACCGCCTGACTTTAGTCTCGTGGGAGTTTATGGAGCGATACCTGGTCAGTCTGCCTACTCCAATAAAACACTGGAGAACATAGTCTGCATTGCAGGTGAAACTGTAGCTGTCCTAGGATGCCTTTTGGTTGTGTAGACAGTTCAGCCTGGAGACACTGGACAGATGAACTGTCCAAGAGCAAGTCCTGCTGCCTGTAGCTGTGCAGACCACAGTGGCCATAAGAGCCTTTGTGTGGCCTCATAGGCACAAGGCACTGTCCTGAGCACATCTGCACCCGCACTGCCTCCTGACACGTGAATGTCCCAGCAGCCTCCTAGAGGTGTCCTGGGCACCATCCCTCTGCCCAACCCCTGCACAAAATGAGCATCTTCTGCCTGGCCTCAGGCTTCCCCAAAGCGCTGCTCTGAAAGCACCGATTCAGCGCTGGCAGGTTATCCTGAATGGGTCTTTTCTGTCTCTCCCTAGCGCTTCTGCCCTCCATGATCAAGAGGAGACAAGGCCACATTGTGGCCATCAGCAGCATTCAAGGCAAAATAAGCATCCCCTTCAGATCAGCCTGTAAGTACCTCCTCAGAGGGCGGGGAAGTTTAGGGTGCTGCACGGAGCAAATACTTGGCTGCTGCTTCCCTCTGTTGCTCCCAGAGCTGGCAGCATGTGGGCAAGGCAGAGCCAGGCCTCATTCTTGGTGTGTTTGTGGGTCATAAACCCCTGGCAGCCGTTGAGGAAGGTATTCTCACATACAGAACCTTAGCCCTGTCCTCAAGTTACTAGGGGACAGGGAAAGGAGAGAGAGAATGGGGGCCTTGCTTAGATTTTGATGTGAAAACTGCCTGATATTCTCATTTCAAGACTACAGTCCTGTAAACGTGCTAACCATTAGGATTCATTCCTTGATTACATTGCGTTTTGTCCTTGCCAGTCTACCTGGTCACTCACCTCCAGGAAAGAAAAAGCTTGTTTTCTGGCTTAATAAGCTCCATAGTACAACTAATACCAAAACAAAAGCCTAAATGGTTATATTGAATCAGCAAACTCTTACACTAAATCAGCTATGATAAGAAATAACATTGGTGAAATCACTGGAGAAGCCTTGTAAAAGATCAAGGACCTAAAAGTGTTTGGCCTCCCAACAGCTGTAGATCTGTGAAAATAAACAGAAAAATAGAAGGCTGCAACAGGSCTGGCATAAAAGTGGTAGAGCATGATGAGAGTCTGAGTGTTGAGTAAAGGCAGCTGGAAAATCCGGTCTGTCTTTGCTCCCAGATGCTGCAGGTTTGAACACACAAATAAACGCGTTCTGAAGAGCGTGCGGAGCAGCTGCGGAGCAGGCCGGGCCTGGCACCACGGAGCTCAGCTCCTGCACAGGGCCTCGCAGCTCAGCGCGCTGCTCCCAGCCCCGCAGCCCCTGTGGCAGGAACCAAGCACGAGTGGAAAGGGAGCAGGGAAAGGGAATTGCTCRTCCGCTTAGAAGGGCGTTATCCTGCCCTAGGCCAAGTCGTGTTGTGGGTCAGGTCTGGACTGGCAGGCACCTGGGCTCTGAGCCCGGCAGGTTCAGAGCTGAGGTCTGTAACACTCAGCACACCAGGGCTGGGAGGCGGCGAGTGCCGGCCCTGCTTCCTGCTCCCGTCCCATGGCCCAGCCCTGCTCTCCTCAGGCGCCTCCTGGCCAGACCTCAGGTCTCCTTTATCGGGAGCGGGACACAGCTTGGGTTTGCTCTCTAGTGCTTGGGCGCGGCTCAAATATTAAGCTTGGGATCATAGCCAGTTTCCAACTTGAGTTTTTACATTTTGCCTTCCTAAACTGCTTCTCACTCCTGCTACCYGTTTTTGCCTGCCATACATTAACAAGTAGGAGTTGGTGAAGAGCTGCTGTGCTCTTCTGGAGAAGGGGCTTCATGTTAGAGACAAATGCACTCAAGGGAACAACTCCAGCCCCGCTGCTCCTCCTCAGTGCACGGCTCTTGCCTTGTTTTCCAGACGCTGCCTCTAAACACGCTACCCAGGCCTTCTTTGACTGCCTGCGAGCAGAGGTAGAGCAGTACGACATCGACGTGACTGTGATAAGCCCGGGATACATTCAGACAAACCTCTCTCTGAATGCTTTRAGAGGAGACGGATCTCGCTATGGAGGTGAGAGATGATTTTGTGTCCTCTAACTCCAGTGTCTCCCATCTCTCCAAAACACCCGAGCTTCAAAGSGTGCTTGTTAACACACGACCTTTGGTGGGCACACAGGTTAGCCCTAAAGTATTGACAACTTTAGGCACAAGGCAAGAAGAGCAGCCTCCCCAAACTGAGCCTTCCTGGACAGAAACCAATTTGGAATTACTGAGAATTTAGGGTATGTTATAGCACACACAAATCCAAGCACTTTCTTTGAAGGACAGCTCTGTACAGCCTACAGAAGACTCTAGACCTGCAGTATAGGAGAGTCCCAGCAGAGATGCCAGGTTTGGGAGGGAAGAAGAGAAAACAAATCCCAACTACTGATGGGTAATTTTAGCTAAGCAGTAGGATAGAGGGCGGGTGCATCTTTTTCCCCTCTCCCTAGCATCAATCAGYGAATCACAGCTGGAATTGACAGTCACAGCTAGAACATACCGGAGCTTCCAGCTCTGAGCCTTAGCTCCTGAGAGCTCCCTTGCGGAGCCACYGCCGGGTAGCAGGAGCAGCACACACTGATTTCCAGCTCAATCATAAATTATGCTGACCTAAGCTCCTATAAGCTCCTATACATCCCTGCTGTAAAGCCAAGAAGCCAGGTATAGCTGGAGCAGAGCTCCCAGGAAGGGTTCCTGCCTCCCCGCGGCCGTCGGTGCTCACGTGCCTTTGCTTTGGCAGTTCTGGACAAGGCGACCGCCGAAGGGCAGACAGCCGCAGAGGTGGCCCAGGTGGTTCTCGCTGCCGTGGGACACAAGAAGAAGGAGGTGCTCGTGGCCGGGCTGGCCCCCTGCTTGGCTGTCTACCTGCGAAACCTCTTCCCCAGGCTCTTCTTCACCCTAATGGCATCTAGAGCAAAAAAGGARAAAAAGGTCAAGGACTCCTAGAGCTCAGCCCGCTCGAGCGGTGACTGTAGGGAGAGGAAACCCCTGCAGCCGGGCCGGGACCTCAGTGGAAGTGCTGCTGCTGCTGGAAACATTTCTCAAACACTGCAACTTATTATTGCATGGGGAGTGGGAAGGAGCCTTTGCCACCTCAGGGCAGGCCCACGTGCCGGGAGGCAGCACCTGGACCTCACCTGAAGATGGATGTTTAGAATGAAGAGCTCAGCTGCCAGGGAAGGTGACACAAGGGAATGAACTTGGGCGCAGGGACACCCATGTGGAGGCCAGCACCTTGCTTCCCCTCCCTCCAGCACCTCCTCTGCCTACGAGCCAGAGGCCCTTAGCTTGCCCCAGCCCACGGCCCCTGCGAGATACAGTCCCCGTGGGGCTGGCTGCTCTTGTGACCGTCGTCTCCTTCCCCTCCTGCCTCCACTCTGAGCCAGGACACAGTGCTTGGAGTGGAGGCACAGAGCTCATGAACAGGCCACATCACCTGSGCTGTTAAGCTGAAGTTAAGTGCAGTGCCATTTTGAAAAAAGTAACTGATGGAGAATGGAAGTTTGGTTTGGAAATGGTTTTTCCTCTCTCTCTGAATGTGCCTTACTGGAGCACAGGGCCGTTGGACTCTGTACTGCCTAACAGCACAGTATTAATGCCCGGCACAAATTAATGCTGGGGATGCACTGAAAAAATGAAAATAATAATAGTTTTTAGAAAAACAGCATAGCAAAGTGTGCTGTTGAGTGTTAATCCTGCAGGCCTAGAGCAGCGGGGAGCTGAGGGGCTCGGGGAGGAGCGTCTGTGCACAAGGGATGGGTGCTGTGCAAGACTGACCCTTGATTCCAACCTCTCCTGAAGCAGCCGCAGGTGCTCATTAGGATCCACTCCTACCACTTCCATAGGGAAAAGGTACCTGCTTGTTGAGGGCTCAGAGGCGCCAGCACTCAGGGTCAAGGGGGCACGTTCAAGCTGTCATCAYTGTGCTCTGCAGGGCTTTGCCCCCTCCAAAACAAGAGGGGAGACTTGAATCCTGTCCCCTGTGATCCCCAGGCAGCTCATGGTGTGAGGGCAGCTACTGCACTGGGAACAGCTCCGCAGTTACTGGGGCCTCTTCAAAGAGGACGGAAGTGGGTTTTTTGCGTGTGTATTTTTTCTTTTAATTCAAATAAAACCTCCTACTAGAAACTTAAGGTCCAGATCCCTGTTGCCACCTCCATGCACTTACCAGCRTTCTCCATACGTACTGCCCTGTGTCCTGCCTATGAGAACAAATCTGATAACAAATAAATGATTATTATATTGCCATGAAATGCACCTTTGTTGTATTTAACCTCTCACAGCCTTTTCCTGACCACTGCAGAATCTCCATTCCCTAGGAATCTCAGTGGCAGTGATTACCAGGACATGGTTACTAGTCCTAGTTCTGCTCTGGTGAGATGCACACTGCAGTTATCCCTATGCYGAGACTGTAGTTTTGTTACAGAACTGGGATCTTTGTTCCCATTGAGATGTGAATACAAGGCATTACCTTGTCTCCTCAGGCGCTTCTGCAATTGTCAGCTCTGCTTTTCCTTTCACGTGAGCAGGCTTTGATTTTGTGGCTGAAATAACAGTATTTCCCGCCTGCCTTGTCCAACTGCTCCATCTTCCATTGTTTCAAATCGTGGCTGCTCAGGGCCACGTGGCCACTTTGCACTTCTGGAATTACCAGCCAGGGTGCCGAGGGCTGTAACATCAGGCCTGAGGAAGGAAACACACACAGGAGAGTTACTGTGTGAGCTGCAGAGCACCTCCCCGCCCAGCAGCCGCGCTTGTCCCCAGCCCCTTGAAGCCACCAGTGGGGAAAGGAGGACCGGACCCGAGCCACAAGATGTGGTGAAACCTCTCCCACCTCGTTCCCCCATGTCACGTTTGCATCATCGCGGCACCAGTTGCTCAGTAGCCAGGACATTACCAAGCACCTTAGCTGGATTGTCACTCGTTGATGTTTCTTGGACAGGGAGCAGAGCAAAGGTCCTTCCCAACAGACCTACCTGTTGCGACAGCCAAGTTACCTGTTCATCTTCATTCTGTTCATTCGGTGCCCACTGCTGCTCAAATTCCTTTTTAACTCCAGAGCCCTTAATGTTAAGCCAGGCTCTGAGGCAGCCAACCAAGGCCAAGCTCTTCACGTCACACTGACCATTCTGGGCCATGCAAAACTTAGCACAAATTAGCAGGACCACCAAGGTTTGGTGAAGAAAAGGAGCTGTTACCCCTAGCAGTTCTTCTGCACTGATTAAATAAAAAAGCAGAGGAATGACTCCCATGCAGGCAAGACCAGAATATTCCAAGGTCTTCTGCAGCAACAAGATACACTTTAGCTAGGGCAGATMTGACACTAGTTTAAATTCATGCAGAAGACAGGACTTCAGAAATGAGCTGCCTCGGAGCTTGAAAAGCTCCCTCTCCAGCAGCCTCCGGCTGCCTGCAGGAAGACCAAGCGGCCGCATTTCTCGCCCTCGCTCTGCCAAGGCAGCTGTACAGCCTCGCTATAAATAGAGCGCTCTGGATCCCGCCTTCCTTTAACCTTGGAGGGAGGCAACGTAGCCCCTGTCCCCTCAGAGGCAGGGGCTTCAACCAGGGCCGTTGCCCCCAGCAAAGCGTTGGTGTCGTGGGACTCCCTGCAGCTCCTGGGCCTGTTCAGACAGAAGGGGATTAAAGGTGGCAAAAGCTGCTCGGGGCTCCCAGCAGGCGCCGTCGGTGCAGGACGTGCCCAGCTGGGGCTCACGCTGCTGGAAACGCTTCATCAGCGGAAAAACCCAAGCTGCAGCCTCCAGCCAGCGCCCCGCTGCAAGGCAGGGGAGAGGGAGCTCTTGCCGTCTGCTGCTGCACTTGGGAAAGACAAAGATAGAACCGAGTTTGGTTTCTGTCCTCGTGAGACTCCCTCCAAGGTCGGCGTTTCAGCTGCCAAGGTCAGGCTGCAGCTCCCACGCGAGTGAGCAGCTCACCTGCACGCGGGCAGCTCGCGCCACAGGCCTTTGCTCTTGCGTTCAGAGCTGCACRCGAGGCTGTGCCAGGCTGCCCTCCCGCACGTGCACCACGCCTGCCTTCCAGGAGAGCAGCCTTCAAACACGCACCGACACCTCTTGCAAAACAGTAGACAGTTGCTCTTCAAAGAGGAAGATTTTGACAGTTTTGCAGCTAGGAAATGAATTCCCATGCAGGACGGAATCCTCGGGTTTTGGACTGTAAGTCAGGCTGCCTCCGGGAGCGGTGGCRGCAGCTCCACAAGTTACCTTTTCGAGCGAGTGCTGGAATTGCGGCCCAGGAGGAGGGCACAGGGTGCGCGGGATGCCGGCTCCGCATCCTCGCGGCTGGGAACACGGAGCGCTGCTCCCACATTGCAGGGAAGCAACGTCTGGAAGCAGCAGAATCTCTGCTGGAGAAACTACCCAAGGACACAAGCCCTGGGAGAACCAGGATTCCCTGCTCCAAAAATACAGCTAGTCAAGCAAGGGGAAAAGAACCGCTCCGTGGCCACCTCCTTGGCTGCCAGTAATGCAGGCACTGCTGCAACATGCAGCCAAGCAGCAGGTCTGCGTGCAGGCACAGGGGTAGAACCGTCACCTCTCGGGCTCTCATGGAACGGATGGCACCTCCAGCCCTGGAAGCTACCAGGAGGAACCAAGTTAACAGGAAAGAAAATGCCAAAGTATTTGAAATTCTCATCCTTTAATGGTCAATGATAACTTCTGGCTGGTTCTGTGTAATACAATTAAACAATATACTTAAATGTTTCCAAAAAAAGCTCTCCTTCCTCCCCCCTTTCTTTATATATCTTTCTTTCACTGACATTCCACTGCTGGATTAGACTCCCATGGCCTAACATACAGCTCGCTCACATCACCGCACATCCACATCTTAAGTGTAACGAAGAACTGAAAAAACCTTGGTGCACCTGTGATGTGTCATTTAAAAAATAACAGCTCTATTAAACCAACTCCTTCCCAGTCTCCACCGCTTCTCAAAGAGGAAAAACAAAATGTTACTGTGGGAGTCTCAATACACTCGTCTTTGCGGGTTCCTCTCTCGCCTGCTGAAGTCATACGGCGTAGAGTTCATAGATCTTCTTTACACAGTACACCAGGGCCGCGAGTGCTATCGTGTTGTGCAGTCTCTTTCTGTGCAGGTCGTCCTTCCTCACCAGCACCACCGGGGTGGACGAGGTGAGCGTATGCAGGGGCAGGCGGGAAAGTTTATAGGCGTCATACTCCACTTGGTACTTGCAGCACGGATCGAATTGCCAGGAGATGCCGTAGAGGGTGCAGCAGGCCATGCTGAGCACGCCGGCGGGCAGCGAGATGTAGTGGGAATAGTCGACGGGAAGCGCCAGAGGGGTGAAGAGGCAGGTGGTGCCCGCGAGCACGGCCGTCTTGTGCAGGCAGTTCCCCACCGTGATCCAGCGGGCCGTCTCGTCGCCGATGCGCGTGGGCTCTATCACGATGTACTTGTACTGCGCTTCCAGGGCCTGCTCCAGCTCGTACTCAAACTGGTCCTGGGCGTTCTCGCCATTGTAGATCTCGTGCACGATGTAGCAATCCGTGGAGGACAAGGTGACTCTGTGAACGGGAAACACGTGGGATTAAAGCTGGAGCTGAAGGATGGGCTTTGCATCAACCCAGTTACAAGAGCAGGAAGGAAAAGGGACCAGCAGCCCCTCAAGGTCACACAGCCTCTAACACGCAGCTTGTACGAACGCAGAGTCGTTCCACATCAGCTAATTACGCTCTTTCTGTTAGAACAGTCATCCTGAAATGAGACAACTTAATGTGAAATTCTCCTAGCCTGGAGGAGCTAAGAACGTTTTGAGAAAATAGGATCTCGTGACCAGTTCTCCTAGAACGGTTCCTCTCCCTGGTACCCAGGCAGCTGCTCTAGGGATGCTGTGAGTATCACACCCCAGCGACCACACGGCAAGAATCAATGAAAAGCAGCAGAGCTTTTCCAACAAAATAATAAGATTAACAGCTCACCCAGTGGGAGGGCAAGTTGCAGCGTTTGGGAGAAAGCACCAAGGATATTTTGGGAGAAAGCACCAAGGATACCTGGCAGATTCCTTCAGCAGAAGGAGGATAAATCACACACATATTTGACCTCAGGCAGCAGACAAAACCACCTCATCCCAACAGCGCTTAGCGCCTCTCGATATGGGGAGGCAGGAGGCTGCTAAAGGGAAGCACCAAACAGGCCCCATTAGCACCACGGTGCTTGTGTGCACGCATGGGGAGGAAACCCATTCCAGGGCTGCTGCGTCCCCCTCAACGCGCCGCGTGGTCCGTGCCGCACGGGGCATCGCGCCGCGGTCACCGCTAATCAGCAATATTGATTACTGCTGCGGTGAATAACAGCAAATGTCTCAAGCAGCACGAACCAAGATGCCCCAACCTCTCTCCAAGCAGGATAATAAGCAGTTTCTGCAAGAGTCTGGCTAGGATTTATAAAAACCTACAAGGAAAACTCCCCTCCAGCAAGTTATTGGGCCTGTTTGCAAGTAGGATGGAAATTAAAATCCATCCGAACGCTGTGGATGCCAGGGGCTGGTTTCAGGCCATCCTCTTGTCAAGCACTGTTAGGAAAATTGAGTGGGAAAATTAAGTGAGACTCTTCACCTTGGTTTTTAAGGCAACCTTTGCAGCTGAAGGATGGAGCCTGCAAGATTAACCTTTCCAGCAACGGGCTTTGGTGTTGAGCAGTGAACTGGCAAATATTTAAAGGAAAATCTCAAAGGACAGCACTTGCAGAAGCATTTATTAGCATTGTATTTAAAATAATAAATAAAAATCACTACTAAGCACTGAATTTCTGTTACAGGTAGTGTCGTGCAATGTGGGTCTGTAAAGGAGAGAATCAGAACCCAAATTTAGCTAATTCAGCTCATAGAACCAAGAACCTGCCTGAGGTTTAGGAAGAGCACGATGGCCTTGTCACCCTGGCATCTCTCTACAGTCAGTGGAAAGACAAGGAGGGAATAAACCCATTCCTGCAGGAGAGCCTCAGGCAGCTGGGCCCTCACTCTAGGAAGCCAAGTGGGATGATGCATGACAGTGGATGTCTCCAGACCTCAGCCACAGGCGCTTCTGTCCTTCCTCCTCGAGTCTTGGGCTCTGCCAGGCTCTGAGGCTTCGTAAAAATGAAGGCAAAGCACAGGCCTTCCAAGCCAAATACGCATAACTTAAAATATTTTCCATTTAGAAAAACCACCATGAACTAAATACACAAAAGCTTCTTCCCTGAAAGAGCCTCGCACCCAAATGGGCTCTTTCTGCAAACTAATTCCCTTTTTAGGGGACTAAATCTCTGCCACAGCGAGCGCTCGAGTTGCAGAGCTGGCAATATGGAGAGTCCCAAAAACAAAGGATGAGGAATGAAAACGCAGCTGCTCAAACAATAGGACACACGAGGRGCCAGCAACGCAAGCAGGGTGACATGAGAAGGCCTCCGCTCCGCAATGAGGGGACTTCATCGTATCTTATTTCCCCTCAAAAAGTGGAAGAAGGGAGGCCAAAAGCAGAGTTGTTTTAAGAAGACACAGAGAGAGATGCAGTCGAGATGCACAGACTGGAGAGAGACTTCGGACATCGCGGGATGCAGAGCAGGATCGAGGATCTGAACTGTGCAAGCCCCCGGACACAGACTCTCCTGACGCAGCCTTTCCATTGAACAACAGTTGCACATGAAAAATCCAAACAAAGCAACTGGATTTGCTCCGCCGCACTTCCCTTGGGGAACTGTCCCCCCAGCCACCCTCCCCAGCAGGGAGGAAAGGCAGAACTGTGCAAATCAAGCCCAGCTGGCATCCCCTTGGTGCAAAGTACTGCTAATTTTACATAAAMCCCATTTCATTTAAAAGCACAGTTAAAAAAAAAAWAAWAATCTAGGTCAAGAAGTCATCAAATACTGCCCCAAGTTCARAAGTCCAGCGTGCTCTTTAAGAGACAGACCAGGCCCTACAAAGAGCAGCATTAATACAATTCAGTTAAGTTATTTTTCAAGACCCAGCCCCATCCTCCACAAAAAAGGGCTGCATCGGTCATCACCTTCCTGCCCCCCTAAAAGAAGAGTTGCCCAGCTCTTCTGCAAGAGCAACACTAGAGTTTCCATCCAGGCAGTTCCCTGGGATTGGGCTTCGTGCATCCCCCTCTTGCAACCTTTGGGCATGCTGCGTTCCTGGTGCCAGCTGCATCCCTACGGGGAAAGAGGGCAGTTGCTTCCAACTATTTTTATATAAATGGCATATAAAAAAGACAAATTTAAAAGTCATTAATGTGCAATTTTGGCAATGCCAAGGTTAGGAATAAGGAATCCACTGTTCACAAAGCTGCTACCAGCAGGAGGGGCAGAAGCATCTGTCCTGGCTATAGGGCAAGTTTCACATTACATTTGGAATATCTTCCTAACATGGGAATATCTGAGAGCACCAAAGAAGGATTCTGCAGCTGGCTGAACAATGAAACCTCAGCAGCTTCCCCGGCTACAAACCTCAAAGCAGCTTCATCTCTCTGCCTCCAGCTCRGAGGGAATCTTCTAGCCGTCTCTTGGAAGCAACGGCCTGTCCGGTTAAGTGGAGGTTTCAACTGGGCAATCCATACGGATTAAGAAATAATCAATAGGGACAATAAGAGGCGTAACATCCTCAGTGAGAAAAGGGCCCTAAGTGTTACCAGGTGCCAACTGGCCAAGGCAAAAACAAAGGAGCAGACTGCTGAATGACGGGGCGTGTGAATGACACCATCCTGGGATAAATCCCGGCATCTTCCCAGCTCTGCACCTGGGAGGGAGCCCAGCCAGGCCTAGCCAGCGTGTTGCCTTTGGCCTAATGGTGTTGCTCAATCTGCCGGAGGGGCTTKCAGCAGGGCGAGTCCTCCAGCTATGTGCACTCTGCAGAAGGGCAGAATCACAATCAGAAACAATCTCAACCTGCACAGAGGTAGTAGAATCGGTACAGTCCAGAAGAAAAGAAAAAAGGTTTTTTGAACTCCTGCCTTAGCGTTTTCTGTAACGCGGCACTGAACATTTAGCTAAACTAAAAATGCAGACAGATTCATTTGATTCGTACCAAAAAAAACAGGGAAAGAAGATCCTTACAATAGTGCAACCTGTGACTTCACACGCAGCCCACACAAAGCCCAGCTCAGCCAGGGACCTGAGGCTGCTCATGTGAGTGGCTCCAGGACAGGCACCTTGCAGAGGGGCACCGCAGCGAAGCCCCAACGTGTCACAGCCCTGGGCACCGTCACTGAGCTTCCCTCCCCCACACAAATCCACCTCCAAACTTCATTAACGGCAAACGGGAAAAAGCACCTGAGAACACAGGTGAGATCTGCAAACGGCCTTGGCAAAGAGACAGCAACTCCTAAGGAAAACAAAACCAGGCCACAAGAGAAACCACCAGCCACCTGACCAAAGCGAGGTGTCAATTTTAAGTCAACTAATGATTAGCCAGGCTAATGAAAACAGGTCAATCATTGCTCTGAGCAAACAGAGGACGAGAAATCCGAGCGGCACAGGCAGGGAAAGGAGAGATCTTGAAGGGTRCAGAGCAGCCCTCAGAGCTGGCGGCGCTGACACGGAGGCTGCTCTTTCTGGAGCTCGTTAGAGCATCTCCCCGGGAACAAGCGCTTCTGTTGTGTGCCCTGGCTGTCATCGGGCCGGGTCCTATAAACAAACTCCAAGCACAATTCAGCGTCTGTTCTGTATAAAAAGTTGTTTTCGGCCACAGATTAACAATTCCCTTTAGACGGTCTCCATTAAAGAGTCTATCCAGAATGAAGTAAAAACAAGCATTTAGTGTGTTCTTTTCAGCGTTTCGGGTTGTTTTTTTTTAACCTTATTAGTTCACCAACAGAGAATAAATGGGAGTTCACAGCCAACATACTTTGATATTAACATATTTACGTTTATTCCTAGTCAGTAAAGTACTTTCCAAGCAATTACAGAAGCCCTTTTAATGAATAAAGTCATCTACAAAAGGATGCAGTCTCCACAGACATAGTTTCTGGGTATTTCTGTTTTTTTAAATAAAAGCTAATCCAGCCTAGTCTCAGAGCAGACAGTATTTTATTCACTACCAAATCCCCTGACGCCTCCTCCCAACACAGATGCCTTTTAGACTAGCTGGCTGACAAGCACCCAAATCCCTTGAAGCAGCTCATTTATGAGCGCGCTGGACTAGCGCGTTCAYGTTCAGCTTGGAGGAATGAGTCTTTGGCCGAGGATCCTGTGCAGCGCAAGAAAACTGCGCTCGCTAAATAAAAAGCAGACGGCCTCATGTGATGACATCAGCCCCGTCTCTCACACCTTGTGTCTCCAGGCAGGCGAACGGGCTGGGGAGGTGGGATTTAGGGTTGGACCCTGATCCAGAGGCACCATCACATGCATCTCCAGCGTCCCAGCTGGGAGGAATGACTCCTACCTGRGTGACATCACCCGAGAGGCGTTAACAGGGTGATCCCGCGTGAGGTTTGTACGGCAGGACACCTCACACAACAAGCATCTTTCGATAGGGACGRTGACACGGCTCCGGGGTGTATCGCGGTCACAGACCGGCCGTGCTCTTGCTGTGTCACAGCTGCCCTTACACGCAGCCACACACTCACTGTCAAAGCACAGCTGACCCACGCTGAAGGTCAGTGATGCAGGTAACTYGTGCTTATGAATAAGGGTTTTTTGATCATAAGACAGAGAAGAATAACAGCTCAAAATACTTTAAATTACAGCTAAATTCTTGTAGAGTTCACAGGGTGAGTTACACAGCGACAACTCATTTTTATACCTGCATGAGTTTTCACGCTGGCAGGATCATTTTCCCTGAAGTTATTAAATACTCTTTTTTCCTATTTTTTCCTCCCTCCCCTTAGAGGGAAGAGCTGCCACCTGAAAGGCTTCGTGCACTCAGTTCTGGGGCAGACGCAGACAGTTTTACCGGGGTGCCACCGAGCTCCCTGCTGTTCCCAGTTGTTTACATAAACCACATCGACGCAGTAATTCCAGCGGCACTTCCCATTCCACGGCCGCAGCGCTGCCGCGCTSCCGCTCCGACACCCGCGGCGCGACCCGCGCCTCTCCTCGGCCGCACGGACTTAGTGCCGCCGCCACAAAACAAGCAGGGAAACAAATAAAWAAAGGACACTTCTGAAGGGGGCAAAATTGAGCAGAAAGCACTGCTTGGAAAACAATGAAATAAAACGGGAAAGGGTGGTTCTCGTTAAAGCAGCAAAAAGGAAGTTTGTGAAAGCGGTTTTCCACCAAGCCGCAGGTGTTTCGGGAGYGGAGCGGGCCAAGGGCGGCGCGAGGAAACGCGGGCCTCGCTGCGGCGCCGGGCGCCGATTCGGGCGCCTTTTCCCTCCCTTTCGTGCCGCTGGAGCCGGCAGCCCCGGGGCGCGGCCGCTGCCGCCCGCCG